TCAGTATAGATTGTTGTCTCTATTATAATACAGTCAACAGTTGAAATAGGTCATCATTGTTTTTCTGTTAATGTCCTTGTGTTTATACAAAGCAGATCCATGAAGAGCATGAAGCAATGTTCTCCCCCAGTGTGATGACACATGTTTCTGTGAACGCAGCATTGTCCTCCTTTCTGTGATGCTCTTGGAATATTTCTTTACTGAGAGGACAGAGAATAGGATGATCATAAGCAAAGGATGATGAATAAGAATTGTGATGAATAAGAATTTGCTCCTAATCTGTTACTACTCTAAATAAAACTGTTACTGAGTAGTTAAGATTTACATAGCCTAATAAGCATCAAACAATATATCCCTATATCTTTCTTTGCAATACTTTTTCATGGTTTATCTACCCCTCACAACTGTCCATTATTTCCAGCTTTTAATATTATGCCCTGCACTGCAACCAACTGGCCACCATAGCCCATTAGTGGCACTCATTGAGACTTTTTTCCTGTGCATAGAGACAGGCACATATGTACTACCTTATTTGTCCATGCACTCAGGCTGGATCAGAACGGCCCTTCCTTTTCTCAGCTTAACAGCCCAATGAGTTTGCCTCTCTGTTGCATTTCAAGGATCACGCTGAGATGGCAGGTAAAGGGCAGCAGTTCTTACCTGAATGGCTGTTCTTTGAGGCACTGATGGGACCCTCAGGCTTCAGAAGGAGCCCTTCCACTCTCAATGAAAACAGACTTCGATGCACTGGCTTTTTCAGCACTGGGTAAAGGCAAGAAGCAGCTGAGGAAATCTACAGTATAAGCCTTAGATGGCTTAGAAAAAGCACAGGTCAGGTGCCTTTCAACGATGCTGAAACTTTTCTTGATGGCTGCTGTGTTTGCTGTTGTGCCCTGCTCATATTAGCCATGTGCAGTAGCAGCAGGATCACAGGGAGGCAGGATCAGAAACACTGGAAAGGCTACACATGGTGAGATGACCATAATGCACTAAGAAAGACTACATCATCTGTCTTTCTAATCAGCCATTTTTGTTTTAATTATACTTAACATAACTAATACACTCTAGCTTTTCCTCTGAACTATTTGTCTTGCTTCCAAAGCCAGTTGCTGGTTTCAAGTGGAGCAATGAACAACTACCAGCCAAGATAAAAGCCTGAGAGATGGAATAATCACTTGAATGGATATGGAAGACCCTGGAGAGAGATGGGTAGATCTACAGTACTTTAAAGCAGTAATTTAGAATGAAATCCTCCTTTTAGCTCTGAATCTTTGGGAAAGATGTGATACAGTACACCTGTAGTTTTGAGATAGATGCAGGAAAATTTAAAACTTGCTAAGTAAGAGGTTACTGACAGTTTGCAGGAGGAGCAGTAATGACCAAGGCTCTAGACACCTGAAGAGATGCAACTGCTACTGGATTTTAGGAAAAACGTAAGAATTTCTAAGGCAATGAAGTACATGCTCTTAAATAAGAATCGAGAAGCCCACTCACTAAAGACTTGTCTTTGATATATGGACACTATCTCCTAACAATTGTTCCCTTTCAGGTCTTGATAATTTAAGATTATTTTTATAATGTACCTTGTTGCAGCATGCAATTGATGTAGTCTTGTATGCTATTGTATTATACAACAAAGCAAGGATCATCTGAACTAAAATGAATGCACACTATTAAATCAGGTGCTTAATCACTCATTTTAGTTTGATTTACTGGAGCTATTGTGTTCTTGTTCTACATTACTGAAAAAATTTAACAAGACACAACATGTCTCTGAATACCATGATATTTAGATGCGCTTTAGAAAGCAATTAGATCATTCTGATTCCTAAAAACCCAATAGCATCATTAGACCTACATATTAAAACACACCCTTCTCCTCTCAAACTTAAACACACCCATACACTGCCCTATCAAGTGACAAGTGGTGCATTAGTTTCCCATGTAAGAAGGTTGTTAAGAGGGCGAGAAATTATTTTCAGCTGGCTACAACAGCTTTTTTAAAAATACTAAAATACTTTTTCCTGGAAGACTTTTAAAAATCAGTCTGTGAAGGGGGCTGATTAATTTTGTGTATGCTATTGCTCTATCTTCATTTGGAGATAAATTATCACATTATTCTCTTTGCTCTCACACTTGCAAATTAAGTTGTCATTCAACAACTCATAAAGAGGCAAGTTGCACAATCCACAAGAACAAATAATGCAGCTCGTCTTTTTTTTTTTTAATATTTTTTTATATGTATGGTTTTGTAATTTTTCCCCCCTTTAGTCTTTGTATCTGACTACATATTGGAAAGATGCTTATAATTTTTCCCCTCATAGCTGGACACCATTAAAATGCTATTGATAGGAAATACATTTTTCAAAAAAAATGAAAACTCTATTTTCTAAGAGCATACTTTTAAAAATGTTTCTTTTGGCAAGAAAGTTTTGACTTGTATTAGTTTTCTCAGAAGAATGTGAGTTCCAGAAGAAAAAAGAAATGAGAAAATTACTTTTCCAAATTAGTATACAAAGAGAGTATCCAGAGCCCTTTGATGTATTTTGTTTTTACGTCACCAAACCCTGATATTTCAAATAAAAAAAAAATGAATATTTTTAAAATAATGATATTATACAATAATGCAGAATTATTTTTAGTGATTTTTTTCTATAAAACTGAGCTGGGAATTTGAATGAAAACTCTCTAGCAGTCTCTAAGAAACTTCTCTGGATGTTTTTGCATTGACTAGTGACATTTGGCAGTGACCTCTTGAATGATATCCATTAATTTCTTTTCTATATAAGAAGTTCTTAGGAACACTCACGCTTTCAATGGAATTTATTTTTCATCAAGTAGACCTGAAGAAATAAGATCTTTCCCAGTACTTTGAGTTGAACCTTTCTCCAAAGCTTCTGCTTTCTTCTCAAGTTAAATTTCACAAGTCCATTTTGCTGGAAATCAGCAAATACAAGTAGAACACTGGTACAGTCCTGTATTTCACCTGAGTTAAACAAGGTTTTGAAACCAAGGTAGGCATAAAGGAATGCATCTCACTCATGATGTTAGTGCTAGATCAAGGCTGTGGTCTCATTTCCTTACTGCTCGGCGAGCACAGTGCCTGTGAGCTTTGTGGTGGCAACTTGGCATGAAATGAGAACAAAACACAGGTAAAAGTGACCCAGTATTTCTGTTCTCAGCAGGTGAGTGTATTTTAGGAATGGTTTTAACTATTTTAATTTCACTGAATGTGAATGGTAGTATCTCACAATTTTTGTCCAGATCACTTCCAATCTTATATCTACAGCGACAGGGAGAAAAGCACCTGGGACTTTTGTAGCCTGTCATTACGCTGCACATCAGCGACAAGTGCTGGGCTGTCTTCCCTAGCTCAGCAAATAGAGTCAAGATGTGCCTTATCAACTGTTTCCAGAATAGGTGCTGTTTGCTTCCATGGAATCACCAGACAGGACCTGAATTTTGACTTTCTGATTAATATTTTATTTTTCTGTCTGCTATTCTGGCTTTCTTACAGCCTGCTGATTTACCATCTCAGAAGCACAACCCATCTCACAAGTATGCACCTCTTCTCCCTTAACCCATGTTTTCCACAAGCAAGCAGTTTTGTAGGTGCTTTTCCAGCTTGGGCTGGACACAAATGCCTGATACTAGTAATGCTGACTCTGGCAAAATTATGCTTAAAAAACCCCCAACCAATAGGAAGAAAATCACCAATCCATTATCCTGTATTACACAAGGCTACATAGAGGATCATGCTGCATGCCCAGTCAAGCACTTTGAAATCCCTTTTTCCTCAGCTGCAATAGCTGGTGGGAAATGGTGTCTGCTTAGAGCCAAGATTTTCTCTGTGCAGGCTAGTGGAGTGAGGAAATGAGGACAGAAAACTTGTTTTTGCCTTGCTGAGACACAGCTTTGGGCGGTAGTGGTGGCATCCCTTAGGTGCCACTTTCCTGTGCTGCAGACACTCCTGGACTGCTCCCTGGCAGAGCATATTGAACACCTTGCTTCATACACATGACATACAGCAAAGACACTGAAGAACCTGTAGCCTGTTCTGTTTTTCTTGGTGTTGCTTAGAGGCTTAAGGTCCTTAACCATGGTCAGCATATGTGGCTGCATCATTTGTAATTTGTGTTCCTAGAGGAATGCAGGGTTAAGGAGCTGTAATCAGTGAATGGGTCCTGGTGTCTAGGAACAGCAGATATTGGATAGATGAACATATTTTATTTTAGAGGTCTCGGCTTACTCTAGAAGAGTACTTAGATTTGTATTACTCAAAAGGTAGACTATGTGGGTATTCTACACATCAACACTAATAACCTCATGCATCAGGCAAATGGCTCTTTACAGGGTGAAGTGTGATCAAAATTTATCTGATCACAGTAGCCTGACAGTACCCATAGACCACAGCGTCTTCATACAACTTATGAGGAACTTCATCCATATCTAACAGATGGGAAAACTGAGAGGAGGGGAACCAGGGTATCTGTAATAGAGCTGATAAAGGAACTGACACCTCAGGCACCCGTTTGAGTGTCATGTTCCTCATATGTGTTCTCTAACTCCTGAGGAGGACTGTGTAACTAAATTTGCTGCCTGACTTAAAGAAAATAAATCAGTCTAGAACATTATTCATAAGCTAATCAAATTATGTAGTCTTTTCTCCTGCAAAAACCCAGCAGAGGTGGCTTTTTTTATTTATTTCACAATACACAAAATAAACTGACACAGAGTGTCTGCTAGTGGACTGCTCTGCAACAGCACTAAGTGCTAAACCCAACAAGTTTGCAGTGTAATATGATAGAGAAATTGTTCCACAAGGTCTTGACTCTGACCTTATGTTACCTGTATCAAAACAGTTCAAAAAAGGAGACAGAAGAAACCGGCCAAGTCCACTCTAAAATTATCTCTGGCACCAGACCCACTGAGTGTAGATCCTAGTATATTTCTATGAATAGAACTTGGAGGAGTTGTGGAAGATTTGCAGATCCTGTAGTTTTGCAGTTGAAGCTGATGACCAGCAGCTGACTACAGCTCTGGAGGCTGAGGAGCAAGTGGGATGACTCTCAGCTGTCCAAGGGAGATCTACAAGCAACTTGCAAGGTACTTTAATCCTTGGAAACTGCCTATCTTTCAAAAGCTTTTTGTTATATCAAAATAAATGTCAGGGAATGCAAGCATGGCAACATTCTCCTGTTTATCAAGTGAAACCTCTCAAGAATCTCTTGAGCCTCTGTTTGCCAAGTGCGCAAATCATCAGCCTGCTCTTGGACGTGCTTACCAGCCTTAGTGGGTATTACTTGTACTAGAAAGTATCTGAAGGGTCAGGACCCATGAGTTATTGTTTTTACTGCAACCCCTAGGGGCACTACATAGGAATTAGAATACAAGGCGTTGAACAAGGCACTTAAGCATGTAGCAAAGAAGTTGTGGCAATCTGCAGTTTGAAGTAGACAGCAGTGAGTGTGTGCCAAAGAAATAGGGAGAAGAGGCATTAAAGGACTGTAAAAGTGGTCAGAGGTTTTAATGCCACCACTATTTCATGAAAATGACATTATTAAAAACAATGTCATAGGGCTGATATACATATTACTTGAAAGCTCATGTGCAAGGCAAAATATATATGTGCTGCTAATTACTCTGTGGTTTAGGTGTGGAGGTTGGGTTTCCCTGTGCAGTGACATTACAGATGTCTACAAATTGTGTCTTACATCTAAGTTGTTTATAATGTGATTGCAAATAGCGAGTGTATTGTTTCAACATGGTTAATGTTTATGAGCTGCATTTCGGTTTATAGGTGCACACAGATTGCCTGGAAAAGTACCAGGCCATTCCATTTTTAAGCAGCGATGAAGAAAGATGGAAGCCTACATGTATCGTTCCAGTGTAAAATCACACAGAGGGAACAAAATAAGTCCGAGAAGTCTACAATTATTTGGGGCTTAAGTTTCTACTAATTACCTCATATACTCCTTACGTCTGTGAGATTATCTGAGATTCCAGATAGGGATATTTCAGGCCAAGAAAGGAAGACAATAAAGACTGGGAATCCGTGAGAAATCAAGACTGCAATGCTGTAGGTTCTCAGCATAGACTTGCAGGAAGACTTATCAAACGCTTTCCTCTGGCCACCACCAGAACCTTTAACAAAGTCCAGCTGGTTGTTGTACTGCTTTTGGCTCCATGATCCATGTGTGTACTCTGGGAAGAGGGGGCTCATGCAGAGTAAATGGATTTGATGCTGCTTCAAGCCACATTACTGTACTCAAGGTTTACAGCATATAATTCCCATATTTTCCAGTGGAAAATGTCATTCAGACCTGCTGCTCCTTAGTTCTTTATACATCCTCTGCTATGCTTCCTATTTCACTTCGACCTACAAACCACCTGAAGGTTTTGGAGGAGAGGGTTGTGCAAAGCAGAAAGATAACATCAGATGTTGCATTCTTGACTTATTTTTCCTCCTGCTTCATTACAAAAGACGCAAAGCAGAAAAATGGACACGCTAAATGTAAAAATATCCGACAAAAAATACTCTTTGTTTTTTACATTAGAAAATAGAAAATAATGCTATTAAACTTATTTATAAACAGAATGATGGAAGGTGTTTTTCTTTTTTCCCCTTGCTTTCACTTGTAGTTTTCCTTCTATCTCTGCAAACTGCATCCCTGAAAATTAATTACAGAAATACACAGGTAAGCAGCAGTGCATCAGTTGAACAGGGATGCACAGTTTACTAGGACTATGTGTTTATAGAAGAGGCCAGTCACTGAATGAACCCTTTACATAAGCCTCCAGATCACTTCAGCTCCCCCAGCAGTGGGAAGTGTGATGTTATGTATTCTGTGCATAACGCTCCCTGAACAGTGAGAGCTGCATTACTTAAGCTGCCAACTACATTATACATTTTTACATGCTCAGCTGTAAGAGTTAAGGGCTTTGTTTGCCAGGAATGGTACAGAAAGGAGGTGTGCTGGGGAAGGAGCAGGACACCCCTGTTAAAAGCTGTGCATCTAATTTCTCATGCAGAGTTGTTTTCACTCATTTTCCTGTTCTTCAGCACTTAACGATTTTTCTGTCATCAATGGAGTTTTAATTGAGTGGGATTAGGGGTGGATTAAAGGATCTCATCAGAGCTCATACTCCCTGCATCCACTTCCTGTTGAGTCCTCTCAACAGAAGAGCTATTGACATTAGAAAAGTGAAAAATACTTAAGACAGTGACACAGTGTGGGAGAACTCAACTGAATTGTAACCAAGGAGTTACAAGTGTAAAGGCAAACATGTCATAAAATCTTGGACATCAGAGAAGGACATGGTATACGTCACTTTTTTCACTCCTGGATTTAATCTGGCTATGTACAAGAGAGGTTTAAACTTTAGCAGACACAAAGAGATCACCTCAACTCCTTCCTCAACTGCTTATGGATTTTTTAATGAAAGACACTTTCCAGTATACAGCTGAATCAATAATAAAAATGTTGTAAAATTCACCACACAAAAAACCAACGGATTTACATTTCATTCTATATTTACATTGGATTTAGAATCAAGACTACAGTACGAACATAAACCCTCTCTTTCTCCTTTTATGCCAGGGAGAAGTAGGATATCAAAGTTATGCATTTATTTGGGTTAGTTCTCTTTTTACTTTTTTTCTTGAAAATACTTTATCTTATCTAACCAGGAGAAAAGGGAGAGGGAATAGAGTCTCTGAAAATGAATCTATCAAGTACTTAGCCAGACATGGGAGAAAATCCTGACCCAGCAAAGAAAAGAAAATACTCCCAGTGATTTCATTTGGCACATTTTCATATATTGCTTCCCACACAGAGTAAAAGCTTAGTTCTGCTCTTCATGTTTTGCTTTAATCACTAGGAGTTACACATGCAAATCCACAGCAAGACTGTAACTAGAACATTTAAGACTAGAACATTTAAGACTAATTATACAGCTCTGGGAACAATGACCAAATCTCATCCCAATTTTTTATCTTTTAGATACTATGTAATCTTTCCAGCAAAAAAAAAAAAATCCTGTCAGATATGCACAGCAGGCCTCAACTCTGATATGCTTCTGACATCAATGTGATATATGTATACAGTAGTTGTATACACATATGAAAGTCAAAATTTACCATGACATTCTGTGATGATAGCATTGGTGTTGTTTTCCTTCCCACATCTGTACTTGAAAGAAGCAGTGAAATTTTAGTCTCTTGAAGGACTTTTTAGTCATAATTCTAGATATGGCTCAGTTAAGACCTTCAAAGTTACACCTATCCAAAGGTGCTCTGAGCTACAAACATTTTTAGGATGAACATTCTTGTAAAATGTGCCTGTAAGGCTTATGTTAAGCATGACTTGGCGAGGCCATTTTTACTCCTCTGGGTTATCCCAGCTCCCAGTATCCTGTCTAACTAAAGTTGACTGTATGTATCAATACTTTGGTGAGGCTTTTTTTTCGTGACATTATGTGTTTATTATTTATTTAAACAGAGTTACCATATGAGTGAGACATATCCTCTTCCAGATGAAAACCCATCTGCAAAGATGCTTTTTGTTTTGTAGAATTATTTTTACTCATGATGCTGTCACATCATGATGTGATATCATCACATTGCGAGTTTGTTTGCTATTGAACACACATAGTAACATGAGTCTGGCTGTGGTCTGCCTGTAACTCCTTATCAGTCAACAAATCCACATCTGGGAGTTTTGACATCCGCTAGCCTGGCTTGCTCCACTGTGTATGCATAGTAGCATTCAGGCTTGCAGCATTGCCAGGTGTCTGCAGATTTCTGAGAGGTTTCTGAGAGACCCACTGTATTTGCACTGCACAGCTGTTTTACGCATATGCAATAAAATAAATCCAACCAGTGTCCAAACCATCAGAGTTATCTTATAATGGCACCATACTTACTTCCCTGCATATATGAAGGTGCTTCTTCTCAGTAAATCCCAGACAAAGGTTGGTAGATTTAGGAGGCTGAGTTTCAGACAGGTTCTTGGAGTTTGCAAAATAATTCTGTAACAATTCAAACTCATTGCTAATAGCTCATATGAAAAAACTTGTCAGAAAAACACCAAGATTCCAGGTACCCACTCATTTTCGGTTTGAATGTTGTGGACTCAGTCAAGTGGAGCACATCTGCAAGGAGACTGGAAATCACTTTTGAAGGACAGAAGCCAAGAGAGATGCAATGAAGCACAGATAGAAATTAACTTAAAATACAGTTAGGAAAGGAAAACTCAAATTTACAGCAGCTTTTTCAAATTTCCACAAATATAAAGAGTGCATGTTCACTCTGGAATATTGTTCCTAGCATTCAGAAAAAAAAATAATAATGGATAATACAGCTACTAAAAATATAATCTGACATGTTACTCTGTATTTGATAAACATAACATATTAGAGGTACTTGACTATAATGTCAAGTAATTTATGTTTGGGTTTTTTTTGAAAATACATGATTTTTAAAGATGGGACTTTGAGCCCAAGGTGTTTAAAACCAAATAGCATTGTGTAAATGATGTCAAATTGTGAAAATTATGATTAAAATAACTCAAGAGTCAAATTCAGACACCTATTATATGCTACTGAACTTCAAGTATAATTGGGTCTGTCTCACATTGATTCTAAAAATAAGAATATTGTAAATGAAGTGGAAGAAAAATTATGGCACAGGATCCCATGAGTTAAAGCCTTCAGAGCATCAGTCTAGTGGTCAGACATAATCTAACATGGCCAATAGATTCTCCTGAAGTGCTCCTTGCCATTACAAAGCAATTATTGAAAACAGGCAGAAGAGAAGAGATTCTTTCAGCACTGTCGTAGTTAAACCTCAGCTGAAAACCAAGCCCCACACTTGCTCACTCCTTCAGCCACCAGTGGAATCAAGGAGAGAACTGAAAGGGCAAAAGCTAGAAAACTCATGTCCTCATAAGGACAGGAAAATAGGTAAAGCAAAAACTGTGCACACAAGCAAAGCAAAACAAGGAATTCATTCACTCCTTCCCACAGGCAGGCAGGTGTTCAGCCATCCCAGGAAAGCAGACCTCCATCACTCATAACAGTGACTGGAGAAGAGAAATGCCACCACTCCAAATGTCCCCCCTTTCCTCCTTCCTTCCCCAGCTTTCTATGAAGATCATGATGCCGTATGGGATGGAATATCCCCTGTGACAATTGCAGTCAGCTGTTCTGGCTGTGTCCCCTCCCAACTCCTTGTGCTCTCCCCCAGCCTTCCTGCTGGTGGAGTGGAGTGTGTCTGTGTAAGCAATGCTGAGGAAAAAAACCCACCCTATATAAACTCTATATTATATGTAATATAGATTTTATATATATGTAAATAATATATTATAGAGTTATCAACACTGTTTTCAGTACAAATGCAAAACATATCCCCATACCAGCTTCTATGAGGAAAAATATCTATCCCAGTCAAAACCAGCACAAACATCTTCCAAAAAAGCAGACAGATGAAAAAACTAAAACTCATGAGAGGCTTTGGAATTCTTTAAAGCAAAGGTGATCAACCCTAACAGTGAGCAAAAACTGGTAGTATCTGTGCTACCAGTCTTCTCTTTTCCTTCAGAAAATAGGGCTGTGAGGCTGACCAGTTCTTTAAAATGCTGGGATAGAGCTGTTATTCAGTGGAACCAGCAACTGCTGGTGAGAAATAAAACAAGGAGAAACATGTGTTCACGCAGATCTCCTCTTCTCCTTTATAAGGTTTTTTCATTTAACATTTTCAATTTGCTAGTTGTATTGAAGTTCCATAGTTTAAAACTCCATCTTGGGCTTCTCATTAATACAGCTGACATATACTAAATTTACATTTCTGTTTCAGGCAGTAAGAAGACATCACAGAAAAGAACTCTTTGATTAATTGCATTAGCTTTTGGTTACATTTATTTTGTTATTTGTGATCATTGTTCATATTTTCTGGAAACTGATTTTCTCAAATTAACAGTACAATTGATTCCTGCCCTGGGGCAGCTATTTCAAGAATACTGGCCATTTCTGTGCTTTTTAACTAGCTCAGTTAAAATGCTTCTAGTTCATTGAAAATAAGAGTTCAAGTTAGGCATATAAAGCTACCACTGTGAGCAGAAGGAAATTGCCTTCATCTATTTTCCTATGAGATACAGAACTGCATGATTTAAAAGTGTGATAGAACATTTATAGGTGACTCTGACCATTGCAAGAGTAGAATAACAAGTCAGATGGAGCAGAATAGCAGTTTTCATGTCCTCAGGTAAATGCCATATTTTCATAAAATTTCGTAGTTTGCACAACTTGTTGAAATGCTGTAAGAGACTGAAAACCACAGTAAGAACTTTGAATAAATTAGATTATATGATTTAGATGTGTTGCAAAAAACCATCAGAATTTGTACATAAAGAGGCTTTGTGGATCAAGGCTTAGAAATAAGCTGGATTTGTAATAACAAGGTTTTATAAAGCATACAGTCTAGAAGAATATACAGCTAAAATATTTCAAGGCTGAAGTTTTCCATAATAACAGACAAAAGAAGTATTTCCTCATTCCAATAGTATTTAATTCTGTGCCCAAGTATATCAGATTGACCAAAACTCTCCAAAGTAATGCCTTAGAATTTTAAAGATTTTTAGCTTTCTGTAGATTTTAATGTAGCTGGAGTTTTCCTTCACTTTAGACCATTAGACTTTCT